TGCAAATGGAAGATTCATCATGAACCCCACCTCCTTGCCGCGGAATCACGCAATTCTCACCCTGTACCGTCGGCAACATTTGTTCGGGCATGGGACGAAATAGCGTGCGGTCGGACTGTCTCGTGAATAACCGCGGCGTGGTGACCATCACCGGAAGCCAGTGTGGGAACGGGATCGTGGAGGAAGGCGAGGACTGCGATTGCGGGGGAGAAGCTTCATGCAGAGGCAACCCTTGCTGCGATGCCCGAACATGCAAGTTTAAAGCTAATGCGGTCTGCGACGATTCAAACGAGGAATGCTGCGAAAATTGCCAGTATAAATCCAGCGAGAGTGTTTGCAGGGCTAGCACTGGCCCTTGTGATCCTGAGGAAAAGTGTACTGGCAAGTCCCCTAATTGCCCTCCGGACAAAAACAAACCGGATGGAGAGTCATGTGGGAACGGTCTCGCCTGTGCCAGTGGACAATGCACGAGCAGAGACCGCCAATGCCAAATGTTGATGGGTAGTCTGCTCGGCGGCAACGACACGTACTCTTGCGATGACCGGACGTGCACCTTGACGTGTTCGTCACCATCCCTACCCCCTAACACCTGCTCGTCACTCAACCAGAACTTCCTTGATGGAACCCCCTGTACTGCTGGTGGGCGGTGTAAAAACGTAAGTGCTATCATCCGGGACCTCGCTCCTCCACTTCTGCATACGTACTAACCAGGTTCTCTTCTTTTCTAGGGCGTCTGCGAAGGCTCGTCGTTTGGAAGAGAAGTCAAGTCCTGGATCGACAACAATAGAAGCCTCGTTATCGGTCTTGCAGCCGGTATTGGCGGTCTGCTCCTCCTTTCAATCCTAAGCTGTATAGTAAGACGATGTCGAACACGTCGACGCCCCAAGTCGATGGCCCCAATGACGCAAGGAGCAGTTTTTTCCCCGCCACCACCTGGGCTTTCGGGATGGAGAGGACAACAACCGGCAGACCCTCTCATGTCATACCCACCGCAGCAAGGCTACGGCCCAGGGGGTCCTATCGACCCGCCCTTCCCTCCGCCAGCATACGGAAGTACTGCAGCAGCCCGGGGAAGAATGCCGTCAGTTCGATATGCATGACAGTTGTAAGATTTTTGTTTTAATCCTTTTTTATTTGTCTTTAAGGGATGCCGACTCATATATATATATGCATACCCGGTTTGGATATCGTCAACACCGTTTCTCCGTCTGTTTTATATTCTTTTCTTTTTGTTTTTTTCCACCACGAACCCGTTTTATGTTCACACGGGCGCATGATATGAATACCTGTTTTCACATCACATATTTGTAACAAGCATCGTAGCACGTGCATTTTGAAAAATCCAGAGTTTTTCCTTTTTCGTCTTTGTTTTTATTTTTATTCTCTTTTCCATTCAACATTTCTGCTGTTGTTCTGCGTTCGTTTCGTTTATGCTTTTTGTTTTTTTGTTTGTTTGTTTTGGAAGTACCCGTTTGGATGGACATGGTTGGATTCAAGAAAGAGAAATGCGCCGTTAAGGCGGTCATATATATAAATATATGTGTTGATTTTGTCAAAGTTAGTAGTTAACAGGGGCTGTGGAGTGCACCAGCTATCTCATGGATATAGTCCCACAGGCTTGATAACGGCAATGCCAACAATATAACTATGCCAGTCTCCAGGGTCGTTTTGGAAGGAATGTAGATTGCTATTCATCTGTTCATTCATTCATTCAGTCATTTAATTTCTTTGGTATAACACTGTGTGTTCAATCTACAATTCACAGTGGTATGGCGTGAAACAATAAAATTGAAACTTCCAAAACGGTACTCTTCTAGCTCTTTGGTATTTATTGGGTGCCAATCGGTCTTCTCTTTCCTTGCCTTCTTCTTCTTCTTCTTCTTCTTTTTTGCCTCTTCGTGCGTCTTCAACTTCAACCATCTATCCTCTTCTAACATGCTCCTGTTTCTTGGTTCCTCATTCGAGTAGTTCTTTTATTCGCAGCCGCGTGTATTGCCGGTGCCAACAAATGGATGTGTATATATTTTTCTAGACTACGCCTGTGGCATGATAATAACCATAATTAGTACCTGCCAATGCGCCAGATATTGCCCGGCTCCTATTTACTACGGTAGAGATGAAGAAGCTTTGCGATGGATGTATAATTATAAAGTAGAGAGAAAAGGGGGGGGGTTCCGATATGAGATAGGTAGGGCCGGGGCGATATATAAACAACACACAAGCAAACCAACGTATCAGAGGAAGGACGTGGGAGGAATGGCAGGTAAAGTAAACGCTAGGGGCGGACATGCCAAAACAGATACGATAAAAATTGAATAAATAAAAAGAGGACCAAGACAAGGCATAAACTCCCCATCCAAAACCATACAAGACGCAAACAAAAGGCGAAAAGTAGATGAACGAAGAACCTAACAATAGAAACATAACATCCAACCGGGCGTAAAACCCACCCTCCAAGAATAGAAAGGAAAAATAAATATGGTCACTGCAAACAAATCCCCACAAACCCCTCCCTCGTCACCCCTCCAACTCCTTCCAAATCAAACTCCTCAATCATAGCCCTCAGCTCCTCTTCCTCCAAGCCCGTCTCCCCCAGCTCCCTCGCCACGCGCCTCAAGTCCTCCAGATCAATAAACCCCTTTCCCCCTTCATCAAACAGCTCGAAGGCTCTGAGAATCTCCTCGCGCGGGTCACGCTCCAGGATCTTGCGCGCAGTGATTGTCTGGAAAGCAGAAAGGGGCATGAGGAGACTGGATGGATGCGGGGGCTGTTCTGGCTGGTTGGCTCCACGCTGCCCCGCGGCCGCGGCCGCCCGCTGCTGTTGTTGCGATGGCGGTGCTTGCGATGATTGTGGCGCATTGCGAGGGACACCGTAGGTTGTTAAGAGAGAGATGAGGTCAGGTTTGGAGAGGGTGAAGCCCAGTGCGCGGAGGGCGACGCGGAGCTCATGGTAGTCTAGATGGCGGTCACGGTCTAGGTCGAAGAGGGTGAACTGTGTGGCTGGTTAGTGGGTTGGAGTGGAGATGGGGTGGTTTTTCGCGGGCAAGGAGGAGTTTTATATGTATATATATATTTTGTAGGAGTTTTCGTTGCTTACAGCTTCGTTGATTTCTTCCCTTTGTTCTTCCGTCAAGTCGTTGAGCGGGTTGTTATGGGGTTGTTGATGTTGGTGCGGGTTTTGTTGTGCATGTGCTGGCGGGGCGGGCGCTGATTTCGCCAGCCCGCCATCCCCTCCCGCAAAGTCTCCCCGATCCCGTCGTGAGAGAACTGAAGCTCCAAATGCGAGGTGGTTATTGTTCAAAGCAGATCTGTCGGGTAGTTTCCCACCAACGTAGGATGAGCGCGGCGGGAACGAAGGATGTGCGGAAGACGAGGCCATCTAGAGCTAATTGGTATTTACTCTTTTGGTAGATGGCGGTGAGGATTTAAGGTGGTTGAAGACCGAACAGACACCATGAAAAATGGGAGTGTTTGGGGAACTTCGGCGAATATATTGATTGATGTAGGTTTTTTGATGTTGTTTTGGAATTCTGGAAGATAACTGAACTTTTGGTTTTGCGCATCTCAAGCTGCAAGTTGCGCGAAACGCGATTGCACGTGACGTGGTGGTCAAGACATCGTCGGAGATATCACAAAGCCTTGAGTGCTATCTATTTCCAGTTGGTAAAGTAATAATTAAATAAAGTATATAATGCATTAAAATCAGGGTATTTTACTCCGTTCCTGCATACTGCCCATCTATTTTCTGTGCGACTTCTTTCGGCCGTTCCCTGAACACAATTGATACGAGTATGCAAAGGAACTTGAATGTTATGCATTTTAAGACATGAGGAAACACCACTCAGTAAACCGAGGAAACGACATCCAGGTACTCGTGCTCCTATCTGAACATACCAAATTACCGATATTTGTCATAGTACACAAACTTTTGTGGCCAAGAGTTAAACAGTGCAGCATGGAAGGGAAAATGGGTAAGGGTGCTACGATTAATGGAAATGGAGGCAATGTAGTGTAGAACCTAGCGGAGACGCAGGGTCTGTAAGTGGGAAATAATAAAACCAATGTAGTCGAAGAGAAAGAAAGACAACTCATTAGAAGTAAGTGGAAAATGGGTAGGTAAATGGGATAGGTATACTAGTCTTATCTATTAGATGAATGTCGGCATGACTGCGGGCACAGCCGGGACTGGTGAATGATAGACAATCAAAGGGCATAAACTCAACCGAAGGTCAGCGTATTTCATACTTTTCTTGCTGTCTTTAATCAAGTGAGGTCGTGTACGCATTTGGTGGTTTAAAGGGGGGATTGATACGGTCGAAGCTCTCAGAACCATCTGCGGTCCTTGGACCCACAAATACCAGCCTCAAGTTCGCGAGTAAACTCGTTTGATTTAAAACGTACATCGACCAAGAGCTCTAGTGCAAAGTCTGAGTTATTATTTATCCGTATGTTCGACTCGGACACACGAAAGCGAATCATAACCCTTATCACCGGAATGATGACTGGCAGCTCTCTGTGCGACAGTAGGGCCAATTCGCTTAGCTGGTTTGCTGAAGGAGGGAGAACATGGTATCCTTTAACCAGGGTACGAAGGGATCACGAGAGGAGGCTTCGTTAGAAAGCGCTCCTTTGCGGTAGTTGGATGATCCATGGTACGTGAAAAGTTGTGAGAGAGTATTTTTATCCCTTTGCTCTTTTACCATGTGTTTGCGTCGTCTGTCTTCTTCCTCTTGGTCTCGGGGCCTTTTGATGAGAAACAGAGCCATTGATGCTTTCATCGAGGGATTGACGGTTATAAAGAACAAACGATTATCCTGCGATGAAGATTGAAGACTCGGGCCCGTGTGGTGTCCTATAGTGGACAGTTAGTATGGTATTTCCAGCTAGGATGAATGTTAGTGGAATCTCACCAGGAGATCCGCAGCGATGGTTAGGAACCATTACAGTTGTACCCGGATGTATTCCTGGCAGCCACCTGGGCACGTTCTGTCTCGATTTTTACCCGAGTGGGTGTATCCAAGAAGATACCACGTTGTACCAATGGGGGATGATATGACATATATATGTCCACTTCAGGAGGATGTGAATGCGAACTCGCAATCTAGTTACCGTTGGGTGGTATGTCATCGTGATTGGGGTTTTTGCGGACATAGATCACGGGTCGCCACACTATTGGGAACAAAATTTAAAAGAGATATAATATAATAGGAACAATGCCCCCAGATTTACTCACTCTGCTATGGGAGGAGTGTATGATACGGGGTGTCAGGGCACGAGGGAAGTTGGGGGACAAAATGGCGTGGGAGTAGGGCGAAGGATGAAAACCGTTGAATCTGCTCATATTGCGCTCCATGATATAACATTTTTATAACATCAACAAAGTAAAAATAAAACTCAAGCACTGTACGTCTATCAGTTCTCAAGCCCCTGAGGAATCAGGAGTTAATAATATTTGAAACATGAATATGGCCGAAACAATAGAGCGTAATAGATACCCTAACATGCGGCGAATATATTCCCGAGAGAAGCAATGGCGGCTTGCACCGGCTTTTGACACGCGACGAACGTAGGCGGGCAAGACGTTTGCCCTCGCGCAGACCCACCCAAGTCAAGCTTGATGAATACGTTTGTGGTTCGCCCAGCGATTATTGGTCAATGAACGGAGACAAATGGGATAGAGTAGGAGATGTGAACTGTGTTCCAGTGGCCGCGTCCTAGTGAGGACTTGACAGCCGTAGAACCCTGCAAGAAGTTACCTCAGCCATAACTGGCAAAATCACATTGCAGATTAATAAGAGTATGGGGAATTGCGTAGAGATGTCCGGCGGGATACGGGCTGCGAAATGTCAGTCCTAAGGACATAAACAAAGTTCGCAAACAAAATATCCGGAGTTTCTCGAAGTTCAACCGCCTTGGTATTCAAAGCTATCAGAAAGGTCCGCATCTACCTGAAGCCCAAGATCGCGATCTTCTAAAAATTTTTTGCCAAGTAGCTTTTCAGGAAGATAGACCTGGGCGACTTTTCCATCAACGTAGTTCGGATTATACTTGTATTCCTTCCCATAACCCATTTCTTTCATTAACCTTGTCGGAGCATTGCGTAAATGTATGGGTATGGGCAGACCAGCCATTCCGGGTTCCTCTAAAACTGCTAACGCGTTGTTAAGGCCTCGATATGTTCTTGTGCTTTTCTTAGATAAGGCCAAAGCAACGGTAGCATGAGCAAGATTGATACGAGCTTCAGGCATGCCGATTTTTTCTACGGCGATATACGCAGAGGTAGCAAGTGACAGCATTGAATTGTCCGCTAGTCCAATATCCTCGGATGCAACCACGATTAGGCGTCGAGCGATGTACAGTGGATCTTCGCCAGATTGAATCATCCGTGCAAGATAATAGAGAGAGGCATCAGGGTCGTTGCCCCGAATGGACTTATGAAACGCGGATATAGTGTCATAATGTTGGTCGCCGGCGCGATCGTAGACGAGGGTCCTGGTTAATGACTTTTTAAGATCCTCTCGAGTCATTCCTTCACGTCGCGATAGGTCCATTGCAAGTTCTAATAAGTTGAGGGATGTCCGAGCATCCCCATCAGCGAACGCAGCAAGATACTTGATCAACTCGTCGTCCACTAGAGGCGAGGGAGAATAATTTGGGCCTTCGACTTTCAGTGCACGATTAAGTATCGAAACGATATCCTCGTCTGTGAGCTTCGCGAGAGTAAACGTCCGGCATCGTGACAAGAGAGCATTTTGGACCTTGAAGGAAGGATTTTCAGTGGTAGCGCCAATCAAAGTTATTTGGCCGCTCTCAACTGGGCCGAGGAACACATCCTGCTGTGATTTAGAAAATCGGTGGATCTCGTCACAAAAAATGATTGTTTTCCTCCCAGACAAACTTAGCTCATTTTTCGCCTCAGCAAATAGCTTTTTACATTCCGCGACTCCGGAGTTGGTGCTGTTAATTTCCACAAATCTACTACCGACCATCTTTGCAATGACGCGCGCAATAGTCGTCTTTCCTGTTCCAGCACCACCCCAGAGTATCATGCTTGGTACCCGGTCCTGTTCAATAAGTCCGCGAAGTACTCCTGATGGTCCGATAAGCTCTTGTCCGTAGATGTCGTCTAATGATCGTGGGCGCATACGCTCTGCCAACGGAGCCGCATTTTCGAAGGCGTTAGATGTCCGGCCCCTCTTCACCACGCGGCTCCTGTCCTCCTCCGAAAAATTCGGCTTAGCATTTCCGAGCCCGTTCAGAGCTTGTTCGGGGGCCCAATGGTCCGTGAACGATCGTTTCCCTTTGAGACCTTGGGTTGGTATGGAAGATGTTACCGGGCTGTCTATTTTCGATACAGTCCCAGGAGGAGCAGCCTTTCTAGCGGAGTTCTGGAAAAATGATGATACATGAATGGGCGTCTGAGGCCCTTGGGAGGTGCCATCGGTTTGGCTTGAGTCTAAGTCCACGAAGCTTTGGCAGCCAGAGTCCAGGTGGGCGTTGATCTTGTTTTGTTTCACCGACTTGTCGCAAATTGGACATATGACCATAATTGGTATTTCCTCGCGGTCCTGCTGGGGTAATTGGCAGTTAGACCAGATGGTTGTGACTTTCAAAGCCCCTTCATCGAAAGCGCGCGATATAAGAACGTTGACGTGAAGGATGGATGACTAAGCTGGTACTTGGACTCAATCCTCCCGTGGTTCATGATACTTTTATGAATTAGTAACCGCCTGTTCTTGTAGGAGCCTGAAGATGTTACGCACTGGCGCGCAATGCTCTCTGCATACACATACCGCACCTTACATTCACTCCCAAGCATAAGTCCTTCGCAGTTCCCTGCAATTGCTAGGACAGCGATGAGAGGGATGTCGTCAAGCGAACCACGACGGGACCCTTTTCGTCCAGCAAAGCGTGTTGCGGGGCAGAGACAAGATGTCTGGTATTATAGAGCTGATCCGCGGATTGTCTGTTTGGTATTTATCAATTTTACTTACACGCAATTTCAGGTCCATTGTCAATGAAGCTGCGGCTGCGTCACCAGTTCAACCCATTGTAAATATGGGCCAAGGGTTTTTGTACGTATGCGCGCGGGTGCACTGGGAATTTTTGTAATTTGAATTGGACACTTATGGAGGCTCCAAAAACCCTCGTTCTAGTGGTTATAATCCCCCCAAGTTTGTCATCGATGCAGCAAAGGATGCCCTAGATAGGGTCGAGTGCAATCAATATGCGCCCACAAAGGTTTTTACTCCATTCATTAGCCCTGAATTTTCTATGGTTTAATTGTCTAAAGTAGTCGGCAAACAGGGTTCTCCCCGGCTCAGGAAAGCTATTGCTGCCGCGTACTCGCCATTTTTTGGTCGAGAACTCAACCCTGATACAGAAGTGGCAATCACTACAGGTGCCAATGAGGGTTCGATCCCACAAATTCCCGTCTGATACTGGAGGAGGAAAAGACAGCTAATAAGTGGCTTTTTAGGCATGTTGAGTGCCTTCATGGGGTTTATTGAAGAAGGAGATGAAGTCATTATTTTTGAGCCGTTCTTCGATCAGTGCGTCTCCCCCACCCTCTGCCACTCTCTATAACTAACTGTTCGATAGATATATAAGCAATATTGAGATGCCGGGAGGAACAATAAGATTTGTTCCTTTACATCCCCCCAAAGATGGTGCGTCGAGGACTTCTTCGGCTGCGGAATGGACAATAGATTTCGACGAGCTTGAGAGAACCATCAACTCCAAAACGAGAATGATTGTATGTTTACGATATTGACCCTTACATCTCCAGATATTGACCGTTTCTATCCGTTTCGTACCTGACTCTTTTAACTAGGTTCTTAACACACCGTATGTTAATTTATTTCAGTGGCTCTTCTTTGACGACCGTTGTTAATATTATGTACAGCCATAATCCAGTCGGTAAAGTCTTTTCGCGTGTGGAGCTTGAAAAAGTAGCTGCGCTTTGTGTTAAGCACAACATTATAATACTCTCTGATGAGGTTTATGATCGTCTTTACTACGTCCCATTTACGCGCATAGCTACCTTGTCTCCCAAGGTTGCCGCGCTCACGCTGACGGTCGGGTCAGCGGGAAAGAATTTCTACGCAACCGGCTGGAGAGTTGGTTACCTTATTGGCCCCGAGCATCTTATAAAGTATGTTGCAGCAGCACATACTAGAATTTGTTACAGCAGCGTCGCACCGTTGCAAGCAGCTGCAGCAGTTGGTTTCGAGAAAGCAGACGAAGTTGGATTCTGGGACCAGAGCAGAGCAGAAATGAGAGCAAAAATGGACAAGTTCTGCGAAGTGTTTGATGAGCTCGGTATTCCTGTGAGTCCCAATTTCCTCCGTTGTGATACACCTCGCTATACAAAACCTTCAGCTCTCCTGGTGCTGATACTCCCCCCGAAAGTATTCTGATCCAGAGGGGGGATATTTTGTCCTTGCAAACATGGCTACCGTCAAGTTTCCGGAAGATTACCTTTTTCCTCCACATGTTGCAAACCGTCCCCGCGATTTTAAACTGTCCTGGTTCCTTATTCAAGAGGTCGGTGTTGCCGCTATCCCGCCAACAGAGTTCTATACGGACGCGAATGCCCATATTGCTGAGGATTATCTGCGATTTGCCGTGTGCAAAAATGATGACGTTCTGGAGACTGCAAAAGAGCGCTTGCGTGGGCTTAAGAAGTACATCGTCCGTTCATAATTTTCGGATGCAAATACTTTCGGGATCGGAAGGCTAAACAAAAACCTTAATTTTTTGAAAACTTAATCTACATCGGCTTGCGTATTTGCCGAGTTGCTAAAAGATTTTTTTAGGTTATAAAATGTATTTTTCTGAGTTATGTCACCCTTCATATCTAACCACAATACGTGTAATTATTTAATTTTCTACTCAAAAATCCCGGCCCCTGTAGTTAGTTTTTCTTCCCTTTGGAGGTCTGGCTGGAATTACTTGAAAACGCCTCAAAAAACGAACAAAAGCGGAGCTCGCGCTGGCCGCTAAGCTCCTTTGAGTTTGGTATCCTCGAGAACTTCAGAGGGAGAAAAAAGCATGAAGGGGACGGACGACAGGCCAGTTACACTGAAATCAACCGAAGAGCTACTGGTCCCGAATATCGATTTGTCTATTTCCATGCGCGACTTGGTGGGCCAAATCGATCCTCCTTCTTACCTGCGAAGTATTTCCTTTTCATCGCCGCCCACCCCTGCATCAACGCATGAGACCATGGGTGACCAACGTAATATTTCCCAGATTCTGGCAGCCTTAGGTATTTCTAGCACCGTCCTCGTCGGAGTGACAGTCCCATTCTCGTCTGTTTGCTTACCCTTTTCTTACCGCTGGTGCCAGCTGCCCACCAATCTACGAGCGTCGCTGGACATACATCCTCGCCTCAACAAGGGCACATGCCTCTAAATGCATTCTCCGGAAGTTACCATCCCTCAGCGGCATCTGCGGATGTCGCCAATTACTCTTTGCCTCCTCCCGACAGTACCGGGAGTTTAGATATCAGCGGTATCAAGCCTGTCAATACCGGCTCAGTGAGTATTGCGGACGCAATTGCCAAGGCGCGAGGAATTGCTGCAGAGAAAGGCATATTACACGATCAGAATAGAGGTATGGTATTGCGTATATATATATATATATATATATATATATATATATATATTCTTTGGTTTTATAATTAGCATTTCCCCCGGAGCCGTTTTGCACATTTGCTGATCAGGGGACCCTCTCAGGGTCTCCTCGGGGAATAGATTCAAGACGAGACCCACGGTCGTACCATCGTTCGCAATCTCCACAAAGAAGTCCTTCACGAATTACACGCGATATTTTCCGTGATAATTATAACCCATATCGCGATGAGCGTCGTACTGATAGACGCGCTGGTCCGAATGAGCGTGGCTATACGCGGGATCGTTCTTTCTCGCCTCGTCCAGCTGGGCGGGCACAGGAACCATACTCTCCCCAATCATCACCGAGACAGTACTGGGGGACGGATGACCGACCTCCTCCCCAAGGTCGTAGACCGGGCAGTATGGACGATAATGTTGAAACCATTAGTGTTGAGTCTAGTTTGGTTGGCTTGATCATCGGTCGCCAAGGGGAGAGTTTGCGACGAATTGAATCAGATACTGGAACGAGGATACAGTTTCTGGATAATGCCGATCCCAGCAGTTCAGTGAGACTTTGCAAGATTACAGGAAGCAGGGTCGCGAGAGGAGATGTGAAAGCGGAAATTACGCGCATTATCAGCGAGACCAGCGCGTCCCGATCAGGCACTCGGACAGACCGCCCGGGCCATATGCCACCTAAAGCTACCAGTCAGTCTGCCCAGGACGATGAAGATGCCGTGCGGATTATGGTTCCTGACCGGACGGTCGGGCTTATTATTGGCCGTGGAGGCGAGACCATTAGAGACCTCCAAGAGCGAAGCGGATGTCATGTGAATATCGTAAATGAGAATAAAAGCATCAACGGGCTTCGACCGGTCAATCTGATAGGGTCTCCTGATGCTACGGAGAGAGCAAAAAATCTTATTCTCGAAATCGTCGAGAGTGACACTCGACAGCTTGCGAACCCAACGCAGCGCGAACCACGCGCAGCATATGGAGGAGATCAGCCTGGAGGTGGACCTGGCGGTGAGAAAATCAACGATATGATGTTTATTCCACCAGATGCGGTTGGGATGATTATTGGAAAAGGTACAGTTACAACCTCGATTCCTTCTTCAATTAAGGGGCTTCCGTTCAGTGTTAATAGATACATGCAGGTGGAGATACAATTAAAGAAATGCAGGCCGTTACTGGTTGTAGAATCAACATTCAGTCACCGGTAGGCCGTGATGCTGATCGGGAAGTAACTTTGGTTGGGAGCAGGGGCGCGATCGAGGAGGCAAAGAGGATGATCATGGAGAAGATCGACAGCGCAGTGAGTAGCGAAAATTTTACCCATCCCGAATCGCATGATTTCACTCAGTGGTATTAACTTTCCCAACCCAGGAATACAAAGCTCGTTCTCAACAACCTCAGCGACGAGATGACTCGTATGGTGACCGATATGCAAGACCGCAGCAGCGCCAGAGCCAGCAGTACTACCAGGACTACCAGGATCAGAACAGAACAGCCGCACAGCCCCTTACTCAGCAACATCCCCCTCAGCCTGGTGCGGAGGAGGACCCGTATGCTCAATGGGGAGGTTACCAGAACTACATTGCTTGGTGGTACGCGGCCATGCAACAGCAGGCACAGCAGCAACAGACGGGGCAAGCTCCACCCGGTCAGTCTGAACCTCCTGGCCCACCTGGGGTCCCATAAACTTATAGCCAAGCTCCTGGTGTTACAAGTGGGTAAACTGTGTTCAAACATTTTTTTACCCTCCGCTTTTGATACCCTTAATTCCCCCCTAAAACATCTGGCATCAGAAGTGCCTCCACGAATGTGCGAAACAGGCGTGGAGCATGTTGTCGAGTTCTAATGTTCTAGAACGTCAACATTGCTCTTCTTTTCCTTTAATGCCATTTTGTTGAGTTTCGCTTTTGTTGTTTCCTCTTATCACATTGCTTTCCTATGTGTCACAAAGAAAATGCGGATTTTCAACGGATATCTCAACTTGGCGGATATGGATTTAATAATATAAGTTTTTATGGCTACTGGGGTTATTTAATCCTTCGAATTTTTGTTTTTTTTTTTTTTTGTTTTTTTTTTTTTGGCATTTATTCCCTATCTCAGTCTTGTTGTGTAGTAGTACTGTTGATGGGGAATGACAGTTTGT